ACACATGTGTCAGTAGCGTGTCATATCCAGATGGGATATCTCAGTGTATCCACATCCTTTTCGGCAGTTGGAACTATATATGTCTGATCATATAGTTGGGTCTTGTCGTCTTCCAATTCACTTCCGACAAACAGAATCGAACAACATCCAACAGTAGGAAGTTCCTACAATGAATGATCCAAAAAAGAAAACTTTGTTAAGCGCAACAGCATAAAAACAAGAGAGAAAAGGTTACATACTAATCCTGCCTACAAAATATTGGCAACAGGGTACTGTTTAACAATTATGTTATCAGAGTTTAAAGAAAAATCTCTCATAATCTATGATACGAGAGGCATGACCTCCACTACTCAACGGATATCATAAGATTTGCACGAAACCATTCTCATCGTGTGGAAGGCATTTTTTTTAGATGCATCTAGGTACTGAAGTATCATTCATCGATAACCCGAACATTCTGCATCGATAGAGCCCGTACTACTCGAAGATCTCTGGTTACATACGATTGCCCAATCCTGAGAAAGGGCGTAGGTGTATGTATCGGCGTAGATAAAGAGAAGACAAGATCCACACGCACATTCCACACCCATACCAACACTCATACCTATACCCACACCCGCCGCATCATCAGCTGAGTTCGATAAAGATCCCGATATGTGTAGGTGTGGTTGGACGGGAAGGAGTTGGGTATGTGTGTGATAGGATGCGGTGAGAGCAGATCTAGAGTGTTCATGTGAGTATCGATGTGGTTTTTGTCTTCAACAACACCCGCAATAACGACCATACTGACACTCACTCCCACATCATTGAATCAAACTCATACCCATCCCTGACTTCACCCCACTAAATTACACCAAAACCCCACACCCACATTTGGTCATCTTCAATAATAATATTGTGATGAAAATCAATATAATTAAATAAATGTCATATAAAAGAATACAGAAAAAGTAAGAAGAAATACTTCTTGATTAGTTTTACAATTAATAAATTATTTTTCATTTATCATAGCACAACATACATATAACTAATAGTTTCGAAAAGCATTTCTTCTAAATCCACTACTTCTTTGTGACGAATTCGTCGATCGTACTGTGTCACTTGATGTTGCCGTAATACTTTGGTTTTGTTCTTGCTGTTCGATGTTATTTTGACTTCGCTGATTTTCATTGATTATCAATTCATTTTGTTTCTTTTTTAATCCATTCAATATAATATATGCATGTTTTAAACAAATACTTTTATTGATTTCAATTGTTTGAATATCATTTTTAGTCACATTTCCTTTCCATATATCAGTTCGTTTCACATAATCATCAAGAGATGAATCAAAGTTAATATTCATATTAGGTGATAATAAACGTACTAAAAGACGTTTAAACATACTTATCCAACAAGTAAGATTTTTAAAGCAATCAGCAATATTATTATTGTGTAAAATCATCTCGATAAATTGATCAACAATGGATATTTGCTGATCGATAGAAAACGATCTTTCACATAGATCATTTCTGATATTATCGCATAAAATTTTATCAAATATGTATTCTTCTATGAGTTCATATAAATCAATAATATACTCAAGATAAATTGATGAGAATGATTTGTTTTCACGTATTTTATTGTCTATACATGTTTTTGAAGGGATATTTTCCTTGAGAAATGTTTGAATGGTATTCATTTTAATAATATTTTTATTATTTACAGTACGTAAATATGTTAAAATATATTCAAGTAAACCAGATAATTGAAGGATAGAATCATTATCGAGATGATCAAGAAAATTTTTTATTTCTAATTGTTCTTGTTCATGAAATAATTTTTGTTCAAAACGTTCACGTATATCATTAATTAATGAAATATTTGCATCATATAATTCAAATTGATAATTAAAAAAATGCATATTTTTCATTTCAATTAATGGTAAACAGCTAATTTCATTTCTTAATGTCCATTCGATTTCTTTATAATCATAAATAATATCTTTACTCATTCCATATATATAATTAATCATTAATCCTTTTTGAACTAATAATTTTCGTATTTTATTTGTATCAAATTGAAATAAATGTTTTTGTTGTAGTGACTGTAAAGGAACAATATGATGTTGAAAATATTTATCATCATTATCTATATAGTTAACCATATGAGAATGATAATAATGAATAATATCATTTTGTAAATTTCCAATTGTTTGTAAACAGGCAGTTAATATCATATTCTCACTATCACTTGATTTATTCAATAAAAACATAGAAATGTTAGTTTTATCTTCAAATGTATATTTAGATTCATAGTGTTGAAATTTATATTTTCTTTGATCAAAATAGACTTCATTTAAATTGATTTTATACCAAGCTTTTAGAAATTCTTCATAGATTACTTTTGCATCTGGATTATTTTTTAAATATTGAGATATTGTTGTTTTCATTGCAACATTTCGTTTAATACGATGATTTAAATTTTCTATAAAATAATTAGTAAATTTAATAATTGGATATAGATATTGAATATTATCATAATCCGAAAGACGTTTTAATAAAAATGTTATTAATGGATATGTTTTTTCAAAATCAGGTAGTAATTGAAGTTTAGTATAAAAATCATCAATAAAATCAACCGTATGAATATTAGTTACATTAAAAAAATTTAATAATGGATACTTTTCATTATCTTCAATTATTTCATCAACAAAATTTGCAAATATGAAATTTTTATTATCTCCATATACAAAATCTACATAAGCTGTTTTATATTCTTTTATTTCGTTGATAACAGACTTAATATGAGGAAGAATTAATTTTTCTTCGATTAATTTTTCTAATTCTATTACTTTTTCTCGTCTATTGAGATAACCTTTGACTACAAATGTTTTCTGAAGCATATGATTGATAAGTTTATAAAGCCAAATATAACATTGATCAATGTTAGATAAATGTGTACGAAGAAGACCATAATATTTTTTAATACTTTCTTGAAAATAGACACAATGTGTTGTTGTTGTTGAATTCGGTATGAGATTTAATTCATTTAGAAACAGAAAGATTGCATGTGTGAAAAAATTTATGAATTCAGATGTAAGTGGTTGCTTCAAATGATCGCATTTTTTTATTATGTTTGAGCAATCATTTTGAGTTTCCAGATCGATATATTTAGAGATAAATTCTAAAGCTTCATTAATATTCATTCGAATATGAGAACTGTTAATAACATTGAAATCATTATTGTTAGAGATAATTATTTCATTTTTACATAGTGGACATGATCTTTGTTCATTAGATCTGTCACAATTATTGAAATAGAACATCCAAAGACAATTTGAAGAACAACGAATAATGTAATGATCAGGTTCATCAATTTTGTTGTTTTTTATTTGTTCATCTATTTGAGTGCGAATATTCATCATTTGAATTCGAGCATAATCATTTGCAATAGCAACACCTGTTAGAGAATTGAACATTTTAAAATGTTCTGTGTAATTTGTTGGCATTTTTTTGTTTCCATCATAGAGAAGAAAACCAAAAAGAGAGATTTTGTCGATTGATTTGAATGAAATAAGCAAAGCAATAATATTTAAAACAATTAAACGTAAATGAAGATTTTCTTCTGACATGAAAGGTTTTAATTGAAAGTATGACTTGTCGTTAAAATTTGTACATAAAGAAATAATCAATTGATAGCCTATAGGTTCGAAGTAATTAATTAATTCTTCTTTAACATTATCTTGAATTAAATTAACAATTTGTGTATCTGGTAAAATATTTTCCATATAAAATCGTGCATAATGATGAACAAACCAAATAATGAAACAATATGATGAAACTCGTTTTGTAGCACATTCTTTAATTAGATCTCGTAGTTGATCACTACTAGGTTTTGATGAAAGTATATCATCAATACGTTTAAATTCCTTACAGCTTTCAAATAGAGGCGTTGGTAGAATAACATAGTGTCGAACATCTTGTGTTCGTTGATTAAATGGTTGAGTTATCATTGAATTAATCCAATCTACATTTCTACTAGCAAATTTACTACATAAATTATGAAATGTTACATTATATAATTGACAAAGTTGTTTAATAATAAATAATTTGAGAGTTGAATAAAATTTAAAATCATCTTGAATAAATATATTGTTAATATCTTGTATTATTTTGTTGTTTTCATCATGTTTAAAAACATATACATAATATTGAATATAACATTGAAGCCATGCAATTAGACCGATTAATTTTAGTTTTTCATCAGTAGTTATATGTTCTATTTCATTTAAATTCTTTTTAAAATGATCAAAATCATGTGTAAGTATTGTAATCCATTGTTGTCTATTATCTTGATTAAATAGAGATTCATAATTTTCATTCAATATCAATTGCGTATAAATTCGTGTAGTAAGTAAAACTTCAATTTTTCGTGTTGAATCATTTAGTTTACATAAATATTGATTGATTTTTGTATATTCATTGTTCTGTGGTATTCGACCATTATGTATCTTTATTGTAGATGATAGTTCGAGACATCCATTGATAATCATAAAAATTTTAGTTGAATATTTCCATAAATCGCGATCATGATCATGAATAAACTTCAAAATATCACCGCATTTATCATTATTTTCAATAAACCAATTTCTTACAAGTTCATTTTCAAATTTAATTAAATTTTGATGAATAATTGTATCATTTGCAGTTGATTGTTGTTGATGTATAACATTGTTTAAGTATGAAATAAAGTTATCGATTTGATCAAGTTTCTCGAATGAAATATGAAAGTTAGAATAACAATAAACTTTTTTGAATACGATCAGAGATTGATCAATTGGAAATAAATCTGATATGCAAGATGCTAAATGAAATAATGAATGAAATTTTTCAACATTTATAATTTCATAATGATTATAATGACTAAGTATATATATGCTCTGTATTAGACGACCATATATTGTTAATAATTGTTTCATATTATCAATACGATCAATGATAGTTGGAGAGACGAGTAGTTCGATTAAATTCATTAAACATGTTTCAATAAATGGATTACTTTCATCATTGAGTTGGAGTCTGCTCTCTGATGTTGATTTTGGTGGAATTTGATAAATATTTGTTTTGTCTATGACGAGATAATATAAATCACTAATATTTCGAATGATTTTCTCTTGATTATCATTCAAAATAATAAATTGTTGATTTAAAATTTCAAAAACATGATCTTCATCACTAATCAATGGTATACTAATTTCAAATAATCGCATTATTTCAAATAAATCTTCATAATCAATAAGTAAATGTCGAAGTCGATATTTTATAGTTCCTGCTATTTTCGATGTTAATAAACGTTGTACATATAATGTAGATAATTGATGAATATTAGCTTCATTTCGTGCTAACGTAAGTTGATCGTGATAGTAATGATCGAATAAATTTGAATCATTAAGAATTTCTTTGATAAATTCTCCATAAATACTTCTATTAATTAATTCTTTCCAAGCAATATCTGTTATATTTTCATTATTATTTTGATAATATTGTGCAATATTCATTCGTATTTGACGAATAATTTCATATTCATTTATTGCACATGGTAAATGTAAATCGAAAATAAGAGGAATTTCAATATTAGTTTGATTGATTGATGAAATATCGATTGTTTTAGTTATTTTTATCCAACAATCAAACCAAATTGGACATAATTTTTTATTAATTTCTTCATTGGAATTGTTTAAAAATACATAAGAATCTATCAATGAATGCTTTTCAAGATGTGCAATTAATAATGACAAATAATTATCAAGAAAAAACATTATTATTTTTATTAATGCATCATTAAATGAACAACATGAACCAATAATTATTTCTTTTGTTAATAAATCTTGTCGCCAATCATTGGATTGAGATTGATTAGAATTATATTGAATATTTTCAAATATTTTTAATAATTGTTTTTTAATTAATGAACGTAATGATAGATCATCATTATCATTTTTAGCAATTTGTAAAGTTAATTGTTGAATTATTGATTCGCGACGTTGATTAATTTTATCTTCAAATTGTTTATTTTTCACATGATAACGAAATTTATTAAAACATCGTTTAATGAGATCATCAAATATAGTTTCGAAATTTAGAAAATCTAAATGAATAATAAGATCGTGATATGATGGATTCATAAGAATATTCAGAGGTATTATTTTATGTTCTTGAAGATTGTCAATCATTATAGTTGACCATCCATTGAAAAAAACATCATTATTAATTTGATTTAACATGTTACGCTGTAAATGAAATATAAAACATATACCACGATTTTCATCGATAATATTTTCAGTGAGTAAAATATGTTTAAGCATTGAAATATGTTCATGTTCTTGATGATAATCAACACGAATAAATAATAAACGTAAATATTTCATTTGATAAAACATTGTAATCTTTTGTTTTAATTCTAATTCGGTTTTAAAATAACTCAATTTAATTTCTTCTAACCACATATGATAGTTTTTGATATCATTATAATTAATAATTTCATGTATTTGAGTATATGTATAAATAAGTAACTTTGGAATTTTTTCTTTTTCTAATATTTGATTAATAAAAGATGAAAAAGATAAGTCAGCATGAATTTCATAGTATCGTTGAATAAAATCATTTACATTATTTGTATGATCCTTTTGAGATCTCAACGATAAAAGAAGAGGAAAATCAAATGAACTTGTTCGAATCATTTGATCTTGACAATATTTAATTATATTTTCAATATATTTACTTTCTTGATTAATAGGAATTGATAAATGATTATATGCATCAGTAATTAAATTAATAATATAATCATTACTAAATTCAATAAAAAGATTTTTTTTACAAGGAAAATTGTGATTTGGTTTATTCAATAAAAATTCATTAATCCATTTATTTAATATAGATACAATAGATTTTTGATATTCATTAATCAATGTATCCATATCAATAAAATGTTTTTCAAAACGATTTAGAAATGGTGGATCATATTTATCAAGATCATGTTTTTTGATAAATACTACACAAAAAAAATTATCATGAATAATACAACGTGGATGATAAAGAGAACCAAGTGCAATACGACAATATTTTTTTCGTGCTGAAATAGAAAAATTTTGATTAAATAAATCATAAAGATTATCATATAAATGACCTAATCCTTGTATGAATAATGTTATATTTTTTTCTGCATAAAGTATAATATCCATTAATATTCGAGTATTATATTGTTCAGTATAAATTGTATTTGAAAGAAAATCACCAGCAAATGTACTACCAATTAAAGTATGAGTTTTTATTAATCGATATTTAATATTAATATATTGTTGAATATAATCAAAACTGCTTTCACTATCACCAATCAACATAAGAAATCGTCCAGTACGAAATGACATACTTTGATTAATTAATTGATCGAACGTTGGAGATGAATAACGTTCAACTAAATGATTTTGTTGTATATATTCACAAAATTTCGACCACATGAATTTAGCACCATTAATAATACCATCAAAATTAATCGCTAACTGATATCGAATAATTTCATGTAGATTGTGTCGTTCAAGTTTCTTATCAAGCATATCATTTACAATGCCTCTAATCAATGAATAATAATCACGTAATCCAAAATAATATTGATTTCTATGTTGTTTTAGATGATTACACATTTCCATATAAGAATTAGCGAGACCTTCAACAATAAAATTATCTAATGGAATAGCTTGATTATCATTTGACAACATTGATTGTGATAGAGCTATTGCTGTCATTTTTAAATCATCGAGATCTGGCTCGGGACAACATAGATAAATAGCACGATTCATTTTCGATGCATCAAGACGCCAATTTGATAAACCAATGAATCCATGTCTACATTTTTCTATTTCAAGTTCACTATGTAAAACTTTCAATGGATTATGTGGTGAAAGTTCTGCAAGACCTATTTCATCAAAAACAATCACAGGCAATAATTTAATATCACTATTTGCTTCTATATATCTATCGGCTCTTGTAAAAACTTGAATAACACTTTCTGAAGTACAATTTTGAGAACCTTGATAAGAAACAGCAATTAATTCATCTAATGTTTGAAAAAATGAATCGTTTGATTTTTTTCCTTTGAGATTACTAATAACAATTTGTACAGCTAATGTTTTACTTGAACCAGGTTTACCACATAGAATAACAGGTATTCGATTAAGAATACATGTAAAAAGAACAAAAATATTATCAGTAAGTGCACGATTTATAGCTGTACCTATTGGTAATTCCATTCTTTTAATTAAAGACATTTTTTCATTTTGTAATATTTTATTTAGAGAATCACATGGTATATTTGGTTTAAAATTTTTAATAGAATTTTCCATTTTATTTAAATATTCTTGACGTTTTATTGGTGAATTAAGACGAAAGTAATAGCATAGAAATAAAGCAATTAAACTGGCATGTTCAATTTTATTTATGAAGAATGTAATGAGAACTTGATTATCTTCATTTGAAATAGGAAATTTATAAAACCAATTATAGAAACGACAGAATCGAACTACATCTCGTAATGACACACTACTTACGTCTTCGTATTCACGATAAAACTTATGGGATTCAATTATTAAAGTCAGTATACAATTAAGCCAGGTCTGATCAGTTGTAAGATTTTCACATGCATTCACTATTGCTTGAACATAACTCTTCTCTGTGATCTCATTAAGATAACCATAATCCCAGATATATTCAAGCATTGTTTCTGGAATTGTTACTACAGAATAAAGTGATGATGAATTCAGAGAATTTCTCTGCCGAAGAATTTCATAATGATGTTTTTTAATACCAATAGCATCATCAGTTTCTTTTTGATTCTTCTTACGTCGTTGAGGATTACATGCACCCAATAAAACCATATTTTTTGGTAATGTTTTACCAAGAAATGATTTTTCGCAAACAATTTCTTTCAATAATCCAATATTAGGAGTCGTATTGAATTCATCAAGAAAAACCCATAGACGTTTGTTTTGATTTTCTTCTGAACATTTTTGTGCTTTTCTCAAAAGTTCATGCATTGTTTCATTTATTTTGTCATTTGTTATACCAGCATGAATATGAAATACGACCATTTCATCATCAAGAATTTTTTGACATAAAAATTGAATCAATGCAGTTTTTCCACATCCTACAATTATACATATAATATAAACGCTTACAATTAAAGAAAATTGTTTATTAGTAAATGTAGTAAGTAGAAAAGATTATTGGATAGACTCCAAGACAAACATTCGACGAAGTTGTCTACAAATAAATATCTTACCTGTCTCTCCCATAATTAATACCGGTAAACCACTCTGAACACGCAAATATATTAATAACATTTTTATATAGTTATCAGCAGTTATTATGTATTCTGATTCAAGTTTTTTTGCCATTTTTTTCTGAAAATCTTCGATATCTTTAGGATTTTTTAATGAATTTGGTCGAATAAGAATATTTTTTGTTGAACAAACCGTACATTGTTTTTCAGTGTATTCATATTGCTTAAAACAGTTCTCACAAATTGATTTTTCAGTGAAATATTTCGTTGATAGTAAAGTAAGTCTAAGAAAGAATTGTTCATGTGTCATTGTATCATGATCAGTCAAAAACTCTTGCAATTGCTGTTCCACTGGTTTTATTGACGATGCAATTACTTCAGCATTATCGTTTGCAAAGAGATTGTAGAAAAATGAATAAAATGTTTGTTGTGGTACATTTGTTTTGGCACGATTTTCATTAATCAGTTGGTAATACAAACGAAATGCATCGACTAATGACGAAGGTATATCACTTTTTGTTTTATAGACAAATAATGGATCGTTAGTAGTAGTAAAAATAACTGTGAATGGTTGTATTGTGTCCCATCGTATGATAGCTTCACTAAATGGAATGATAGTCTGATCATCATGCATTGAACGCTGATTCTTACGAACTGTTTCAACACTTAACGATGTGAATTGGTCAGAAGAGTTAAGTAAACTTCTTAGAATATCGGTCCGTAATGATGAATGATGTTCAGGATCGACAAAAAAATGACCACATTGTGAAAAACCTGAAAATAATTTGTAATATATAGATACGAAAATAGATAATTGTGTCCATGAAACAAATTTAATATTTTTCTTTGGAAAAAAATACTTCTGTAACAGACGAATACAAGTTAGTTGGTCGAAAGTTTCTTTATTCTCTTCTGTTATGTTTTCTATAATGATTTTTTCATTTTCTATAGACTGAAGATAATTAGCAACAAATTGTATAGGTGATGAATTATTAACATTCAGTTCATTCCAATTCATACAATCGATATGTTTTATTTTCATATACTTGAATATAATAATATCATCTTTTAAGTTGGCTAAATACAATGATGAATCAAGTTCAATATAAATTGGTATATTACTTGACACATGTATAGGTATTTGTCGAAGTCGAAAACAACGAAAAAGTACAAAACAATATAGAAATTCATTGAGTTGTTGAACATCTTCAACTGCACTAATGTCAATATGTATAACTATTGTTGATGATTCTAATTGAATTTCTTTATTATAAAGTCGTTCTACTAATGTATCAATGTCTACGTCACCACTAATAGGAAACTTAATACATTTTTTATTAAGTTGAAGACTTTCATTTCGTATATAAGTTGATTTACCGAGACCTGCTATTGTTGATGTAACCAATAAAGAATAATCATTAATGATTGGTTGAATAATATTTAACAGTTTTTCTTCACTAAGAATATCTTGATCACGAATAATTTTCATCATTCGATGTATTCTTAAGCTATTGATAATATGCAATTGAGAAATAGACACCGTTGTAATCATGCTTAGAAGAAAAAAATGTTTTGGATTTTGTTTGATTAATTGATTTAAAAGTTGTGCAAATTTATCTTGAATTACTAATGATAATAATTCAGGTCGAATAAGTTGATGTAATGTTTGTGAATAAAAACACCGATAAACAAATGCTCGTATTTCTATCCAATCTGTATTCATTGTACAATAGAATAATTGATTAGCAATGATCGGTATATTGTTCAGATGAAAAAGAGAGTAAATAGCACGTAAAATTTCTTTGTTTGATGTTTCCACTAAAAATACTTGTTTATGGTTTTGATCATTTTCTTGAATTGAAAAATATTTACTGACACGTTGACTATTAAGGATCTGAGCCATATTCTTTAGACGATCATTGGGTGTTATACTTCTCATTGGTAATAATTCTAATTGAATATTTTGTGGATCAATGCCGATAAATTTAAGTAAATGATATCCTGGATCATTACTTGATGTTACTGTTTGTTTATATAAAGAATTTTCAACTAGCCAGATTTGTTGATACGAAAAATAAGTTAAATCAATACATGTTTCGTACATAATACAAAGTTGTTGTTCCCAATCAGAAAGTTGTGCTGTCAAACTCAATTTAAATTTGTCAAGTTCATGATAATTATCGTCTCGACATGTAAACTTTCTTTTAGACATAGGATATTCTTGCATGAATGGATAACCAGCAATATTAAGTAATTTTAAATTTTCTAATATAATCTCAAGAGTTTCTACGAAAGAAACAAACGATTGTAACTGCTGAATATTGTCATCGGTATAAGTTTCTAGATTACTAAACTTATTGCTTCCATATTGAATGAGACGTGCTCGATCGCGGAGTTCACTAAGATCATCAAAGCATATTGGTTCCCAATTCGTATTCATGATGTGTACATCGAATTGATATTGATTACCATGAACTGTTTCTCTTAATTGATGAACACAAAAGCAGAGACTTGAATTTTTCATTATATCCAAAATACGTCTTCGTTTTGATTGTTCCTTATTTTTTGATCCCATACATATACGATCTATGCTAAATAAACATTTTGAACAAGATTCATAATTGTTTAGAATATTTTTAAATTCAATCTCATTTGATACTTCTTCAAAACAATTAATAATATCATTGAATTCCAGATACCTTTTTTGGCGAATAGAGTCAATCATGATATCTGTTTGATGATGAAATCGTTTAAGTAATACAAAATCTAATACCGTTTTGGTGCTAATTAATGTTTCATCCCAGTCATTGACTATTTCAAGTAAATTATCAACATCAGTTACTGTGAGTGAATATGAAAAGTCTATAAGTTTCTCTGATAGACTCCATTGAGCAATGAGTTTAAGCACTGATTTATTGTATTTTTCTTCATAATGAGCACAATATGCCTGATATACTGCTTTACAAGTTTCAATGGATGATTGATTATTAATGTCAAGTATATTTTGTAAAATAGATTGTTGTTCAGTAAGTGGAATATTATAATGTTTCGACAAATGGATGCAACCTCTACATATATGATTAATATGCTCATAATTTTTCCAATACTCGACTAATTTTTTGAGATATGAAGCGATATTATCATCGACTAACGCTTCGAATATATTAAATTCATGATCTATAAAATTCTTCTCAGGAAATAATTGTTCCAATTGAGGGAATAAGGGTTGTTTTGTATCAGTATAGAGAACCTTTAGACGAGAGATAAATTGATCAAGTATCTTTGTGACTTGCAATAATAACATAAGACAAGTTATTTCTTGTCCATTGTTAACAGCATTGTCTTTTAATTCTATGTAAAAATAACAGTAAAGAAAGAGTTTTCTAGACATTTATCATTAATAATAAACGATTAGGTTTACTTTGAAAATCTGAATCATGCTTGAGGACACTTTGCCAAACATGTGATGAAAACACGGGGTTAAGACGATCGGCAAACGGCTTCAGCTTTTCAATTTCTTTTGGTACCTCGATAGAATGTACTTTTTCTTCATGACGGTATGTTCCCATTTTTTTAAGAAGATTGTCGTAGAATTTCTTGTCACATGCTTCTTGACAATAGTTATTTATACAAGATGTTATATTTTCTTTGATTGTCAATATCATTTGCATTTTTCTGTTTGTCTCAGCAATTAATTGTTCGAAACGAATTGTTTTTCCTGCATGTTCTTCAATTACATGCCAAATATCACAAGCAATTTGTCTTTGATCATGCCTAAGTTTATTCCAAGTTTCTGTATCAGCAACTTTAAAACCGTCTTTCTCCCATTCTTTCCACAAAAGTATTAATTGTTTGATAATTTTTATATAAAGAGACGGTGTTCGATTAGAATATTTCAACAGAATGACGTAAGTAGGTGTAAACATGCTAGGTTCATTGAACGTATCGTGCAGTAAATCATCCTTAGTAATTTCAATTTCATCACATATTCTTTGAATTAAGTCATATACAAGCATGCTTTGACTAGAATAACTTTCGTCAAGTTCAATCAATTTAGAAAATAAACTCTCTTCTTTTGTTAATTTCTTGAATAGATTCTGTTGCTCATCAATCAAATATGTGTTATAAAATCTATCTTTAAACCGCACACGAAAGCTTTCATTTTGTACATATAAAAGACCATTTTCAATTACACGAAAAACATTGTCTAAACAAAATATTGTTAATACCTAAAAACTAGGGAAAATTAAATTTATAATATTTACTTTGCTTCAGGCACAGCTCGATTATATCATCAATAAAATATAAACGAAACCAATCCTTATTGATTGATATTTCTAAAGCATGAAGTAGTTCATCTATCGCCTTTAAAACTTCCATTAACTTTGAAAAGTCACTATCAAAACAGTTTCTCCAGGATCTATGTAATTTTTTGTATTGTTCATGATTGCTACCATCGTATACTAGACTGTTTGTTAAGAAACATTTAAACCATTTGATATAGTATTCATGCGAGTTATTCTTCGGTAATGATTTGAGCAATAAATCGTCTGTTCTGATACAATCCAAAACAGTGCATTTCGATTTCGAATCAAGAATGTAACTGATATATTCTAAGTCTTCGATGTTGATGTCTAATGAGTTAAAATATTCAGCTATTCTATATTTCAGCTTTTCATGGCTTCCAATTATTCGTCGAATTTCAATTAACAAACGCTTAGTAGCTTCATGATCATGTACTCGTTCGGATTGTAAAAATCTTATTAGAAATAAAATGCTTTGGCGATCAACTAAATGAAAACTTACAAATAATATAAGATTATCTGATTGTCTGTCTTACCATTTAAATTTTCATGGTAAATGAGTCTTTCAAACTCTTCAGTGATATTCTTATAAAAATGTTTGCTGTCTGTGTATATAGTCGAAACTTTAGTAATCAACATAATATATGTTTCAAAAGAGTTCGTTAAATATACATCCTGCAACTTAATCATATCTGGATGCACCATTGTAAAAATATCAGTCCAAATAGAATTTATATAGAGAGATTGATTCAACTTATAAAGTTGCTCCAGTATTTCATTGGCAATAACTTGACGTTGTTTTTCATCGGAGATTTGATAGAGAAATTCAAGTTTGTTATCATTAGAGTTATTAGACGTTTGATAAAATAATTCGATGCATACAAGTATTGCAAGACCACTTCTGAACAGAGGTTGTTCGTCGTTTTTTAAATCCTTAAACAGACTAGCTAATTGTTGTCGAACGTGTAACATGATTTTTGTTGCAAATTTGTTAGCGTCTACATCATACCGAAAGAAATTTTCTCTTTTGATAGGTAAAAGTCCGATCATACGTAGAATAATTTTCAGAGTGGTAAGATGAGTTGCTAGATCTGCCGAAATATTATCTACGTATGAGTTACATGTTTGGAAAAAACTATTATAATTTGTTTCATTAAATATACGATTATCAGTGTCAAGATTGACTTGAAATTGATGAGCCAGAACATCAAATAGGTAATATATCTTATTGCAAAGAAGATAATAAGTATACAAACAAAGATCATCAAAATAATTTGTATTGATTCCTAGAAAAATAATATTCAGCATCCATTAATGATCGATTATAAAATCTCACCAGGTGGTTCCATTGTAGCTTTATTGGAAAAATGAATATCAAAAAGAAAATGATGAAAATTTTCAGAATTAACGAGTATTTTATGTCCGTGGCTCGGTCTTTCTTCGTGGTGGAACTTGACCCTTTTAGCAAAAGGATCAAGTCGAGAAATTCTCAAATGATACTCATCAATGCGTTTAAAATTATCTTCGTGCAAGACATCTATTTGTTTGCTGTCGTCTATTTTTATAACAAGCTTTAGTGTATAAATAAATGGAACAAAGTTATCAGTGTTAAAAAGTTGCTTTCCGTCATTGAATGCGAATGTAATTTTGTTACCAAAGTCCGCCATTAGCTTGAATTCATCTTTTGTATCACGTATGCGCACATAATATATGTATATTTCATGATTTTCCGATGTAGGAATCGTTTCTGCAGAAAGTATACTTTTGCCAATGGAATTTTCTCGAGTTTTGGACATTAGACGGTCAATAATATGCGTAGTTTGAATTTGCTTACTGAAAATTTTCGTCTTTATATATTTTATCAGTACGCAGAAGAAAAAACACGAATGAAACAATTTTAGATGTGTTCTTTGCGCTGAGTAATGTCGTCAGCACACGTTTATTTTGCTTTTTTTGTGACTTCGCCTTCTTTACTGTTAAACTCGTAAATTTTATAAATAGTGTCATTGCACACAGAAGAAAAGCAACAACAGATGCGCACAATGTCGCTCGCTTGGATAAAATATGGTGAGACAAACTGAATTAAGAAAAAAGGAACAATGCTGCTACAAGTACACACAAAACGACGAGATGAAGAAAAGCAAAAAGAAACATACGAGTAAAAAAAATGAGAAAGAACAAGAAAAAGAGAAAATAATACTGAAAAATAAAAACGCAGTGTCATTCGAAACCAATATCCAAAGTGATCATTTTCTTGCCTATCAAACAAATCTGAAAAAAAAAATATTATTGTCAAAAAGCTGTTAGCAATATTCTGGCGGAATTAAAATGTGAAACGCGATTTAGCTACTTTTGCTAATAACACGTAAAATGTTTTATTCTATCTATTTGGGACACATTTCTTCACCATCCTTTTACTTAATCCTCCAGAAATGCAATAAGAAAATATTTCACGTATTATAACGGAATATTATTCATATACGATCTGTGATCGTATATCAACAACGTTTGTCACGGTCTTGGAAGACTCAAGTTTCACCGCTACAATTGAACACTCTTTTTTTTGTATGTATCGTTTTAAAAAAGCTATCTTCTAATAGCACTTGATTTGTGATTTGAAGGAGATATCTGTCGCTCAAGCAAAGGAACAGCGATAAACTACCCATAATCAATTTTAAAATTCTCTCAAGCATGATTATTTTTGTGCTGTGAGTAAGAATCAGTAGAAATTGAATATCCAGAAAAAGAAAGCAGACCTTAGTTGGAATAAAACATCATCAGCAAAAATGTTTTGAAAAGGTTTTACTGTCTTTCATCCGGCTTTTTGAAAATGTTCTTATTATGTTTTCGAAAGTCTTATCGATCGTTTCTTTTGAGGAAGTTCTTTTTTGTTCAGGTGAGGGGCGTATGTTTGTGTGTAGATATGGATGAATAGAAAACCACGCCAGTGTGTTCGAGGAATTTTCAACGCTCCGAATATGCATATTATTTTAGTAAACGATCGATTCGCTGTTTGTATCTGCTCGATTAGAAACAATTGTTTTCATTGTGAAAAAATACTCTTCATTAGATTATATTTATGCTACTAGTCAATAGGTGCGCAACTGGACTATGGAACATAAATGGAAAGGGGAAGTTTTCAAAAAGAAATATGATGTGATGTGATTTACGCGTTTCTAGAAATTGTCTCACGTCTCCAATTATAGTCGAATCCAATGAAATATCATCGAATGGGTGTTATTGAAGTGTGGGTGTGGGTGTGTGTGGGCGTGGGTGTAGGTGTGGGCGTGGGTGTAGGTGTGGGCGTG